GCCCTTCTTTTAACATTCCTTCCTTCCATATATATCTATGGATGTCTGTTTTTTCTTAACCCCTCCCTCCCGACCCTCGATGCGGAGTGTCTATCGGCAATTACTTATCGTGGTCAATAACTGCGAGATAGGCATCGAGATTTGGAGAATGACGAGAACCAATGCCCGCGCGCCTGTGACCCCTCAGGAAATTCCACGTTCAGTTCGGTGGATCGGGACTTCTTTTTTTTTCTCTTTACTTAATTTTTTTGCTGAAAAGAGCGGTTTGGGTTTGGCAGGAAGAAAGTGATGAAGAAAGGCAGCCAAGGGGCAGGGGGGCAGCGTCGTACACGCCTCGACCGTGGGTGACTTATGATAACTGCTCGGTGGGATCTCCGGGATCCCGGAGGCTGCGATCATCAATTTTAGCGTTCACCATTTCCCACCCCCTCCCCATCCCACGTGGGCCGCGGACTCCTCCAGTTGCTACTGGCTGCTTCCTTTACTTTTGGCCGTCTCTTCTTCATCTTCCCATCTTGGTAATATCTCGCTGCTGTGCCAACGCTTTCCTCTCTGGTGTGTGTGTGTGTGTGTGTGTGTGTGTGTGTGTGTATATATATATATATATATGCCCGCCTGAGCTCGAGATAGGCCCTGACTGCCCTGACTGCCCTGACTGCCCTATATCTGCGTTACCAGCGTAGCTAATATAGTATATATACATATACGCGTGTATATAGAAAGTCACACATAAACTACAGTCCTAGCATACATATCTCCATCCACCGTAAGGGTCACGCGAGTTTTACAGCGCCTTTTACGCGGGTATTACCTGTCGACATGCGAACCTTTCTTATTTTCTCCCTCGCTGTCTCTCCCAGCCACTTTCCTCTTTAATCTTTATACTCTATTTCCTTTCTACCTACTCACGCGACCCCGACCACCCCCAGAGCTCCAAGAGCTCGTCCGACAGTTCTTTAAGTTAGTCAAACTCGCTTTCTAGCCTCTCTGCTTCCTAGACCAGCCGGAAGACTCTGGGCTCTTATGGATCGCCCCGGAGAAGCACTGATCTCGTATCTACAGAAGTCGCAAGTTGCCGTCTCAGGTTAGGTACGCCTGATGAAAGGAAACCAGTGGGTAAGTTACTTCGCAGAAGTTTCTTTCTCTGTTAAGTCGACCAGTCTTAAGTTACCGGTAGAATGGACACGTAGCCGGGGTCTAGGACCAGTAGGATACCACTTTGAAAACCGTTCCGGCAAGATATCCAAAGTGGTCCTTAACGCGAGGCGCCTCGACGACTTCTACGCCGTAGGAGATGCGCTCTCCCGTCCTCATTTTCCCATAGTCCCGAATTAACTCCACCAGCCGGAATCCCCAGAAAGTTTACTCGGTGCATTAATTAATCCTATGCTCGTTACTCCCGGGCATCCTTCGTCACTTCCGTGGCCGGAAGCTAACCGACCCAAGTCGGCAACAGGGATCCCACTACGGCTGAGTATTCCTACTCCACTGTGAAAACAAATTTCGTTGCCTAGCCTGAAGCTAGCGACATGCGCGCCACTGGTAAATAGTGGGCTGAACAAGTAACTAAAATTCCCTGATACTTCAGAGCCAAGAGTTAATACAATTTTCATTGTATCGCAAGATTCTCTTTGTACGAAGAGGAAATTAGGTATGCCAGTTGAAATTGAGGATATCTTTAAAATTCCAACTGTTCCTTTGAAAGAAATTGAAAAAATATTGCTCACGAGGGAGGAATGTCGATAAGAAAAATTGGTGGGTTGACAAAGTAAAAGGGTTCTATATCCAGGGTATCTCTACCCTAATAACCCCTACAGCTCAAGTACCCACTCCATTATGTAAATTCAATAACGAGCAACCATTTTCAAAATATGCCTAATATCCGGATACGTGAAGGTAAAAGTTATTTAAGGTATCGTATAGCGAGGAGAGCGATATGCAGCTGGTTAAGGAAAAAGTGACTGCTTTCAGGAAGAAAATTCACATTGGGTCACAGAAGGGTACCGGTTCAGTGTCACTAGCCGAGATTAACCTCGGATAGCGAAGATATCGCCGATAGGGTATCAAAGATAAGAAACGACATATAGATGACTCACCGGACTCCGAGACCGAGGGGCTGCCCGCAGACCTGTCGGAGTTCCTGGAGCTGGCCGTCGAGCTGGTCGAGGATGCTGTGCCAACCGAGCACTCGGACACGCTGCGTCTCTTGGACAGCAGTGCGGCCGCTGCAGCTGCTGAGCCGCAAGATGAGCCCGTTGGGGCATTCGAGCCGAGTCCATGCAATCCGTGAAGACCGTGAAGACCGTGAAGACCGTGAAGACCGTGAAGACCCGTTTGACTTGTGAGCTGCTCGAGTCTTCGTCTGAGGAACCTGTGCTCCCTGGACAGCTGTTCTTTGTGTACTGCGTGCTTTCTTTCGCGCTCTTCCAAACTCTGCAAAAAAGAATTTTATTAATTAATACAACTTGATAGATCCTACATTTATGTGCTCGCTGACTTTGTTTACTAATAGTTGGTTCGTTATCTTATCTTCAGATCTTATCTCAGTGGATCAAAGTGCCAATTACTTCGTGGTATCTATAGTAGCGAATTGGTGATTTCGACGGAGCCTGAGACATTCGCATGATCCTTGGAGCCATTCGAAGATGCCCGTCAATGGGATGCTTGGGTTTATCCGCAGGATATTAATTCCGAACCAGTAATTTACATAGCAAGAGATACCTGTCAGCTTTGACTAGATTCTCTGAGGATTTTGGTCGATGTGGACGCGAGTTGATTTCTATATGAAGTAGATGGAATTGAGGATGTACGGTTCTTGTGATAGATTACATATATGAAAACATATATATAGATATCGATAAAAATATATAGCAAAGGGAGACTTCAACTTCGAATAGGTCTGGCAGTTTGATATTTGATTTATAGAAAATGCAGGCCTACAATTAGATTTTGCCACGTTTAATTTTTTTTCACTCAGGTAAATAAAATCTCGGCGCTGCAGTTCATTTTGCGCCGTAACGAGCGAAACGTTCAGTTCTCCTGGAAACTACATGGGAAAAGAGACCCTGGAGTTGGCTGAGTCCGAATTGATAGTAAGGTGGCTTGGCTAGGTGAGCAACTTGAGTAAAAGTGACTTTCAGGAATTGCGGGCATAAAGTAAAGTGGGACGACGGAAGATCGGTTTCCCTAAATCGGTGTAATTTCTCGAGCAGCGAACACGAAGTTCTGAAATAATTGCACCAATGTCAGTTGAAAATTGCTTGTACCAGCCTATCATTAGCTGTTCCAATGTCACGCCATGTTGTATGGAATCCATTGTATAATGTTTCTCGTATGTGTTAATGACACAACCATTTTTCCTTAAATATTGTTAATGTTAAAACACATCCTGAGGTGATTTAAACACTTCGTATAAGAAGATACCGAAGAGGACAAAATTTATAATTCTTTTCTCGCTGCAATGATTAAAATAAAATACATAGGGTGTAACATGTATCTGACGTGATTCGTCAAAGAGATAGTAATACCACATTGGGAAAATTGAAAAATTAAATTATTAAAAAAAAAAAAAGGCAGTATAAACAAGATTGGGATTGATCGATCAAAAGGATTGGCAAAATTTGCCCATGAACGTAATCAGTGTGATGATCGGTGCCCGATTTGGGTAAGACCGCGCAGTGATGATAATTTGGGTATTAATATTAATGGGGAAACGTCCCTCGACCTGGTCTTCGATTCCAATTTAGCGAGGGACCGCCGACTTCCTTCTTCTCATTCGATTTGAAAATCCATTCGAATACTATCGACATGTAATACAATGTACAATGTACATTCGAATACAATCAACGAGTCATTTCACTTTGTCGTTAACAAGTACTACGTAACTCATCGACTTCTATTACGAAAAGAATTCAAATTCCTTTTCGACGCTGGACAACGGACTGAAACGAGTCCTCTTGTCAATTGCTGGTGAAACAACTTCACGTCGAATTGAACTTTGGCAAGCTTTCGTTATACTTTTCTTCCCATCTCCTCAACGTCCTCCACAAGTATCAGAACCTAAAGCTTTTCCATTCGTGAAGTATCGCCTTAAGAATTCCCGAGGTGGAAACGTTCTCGTGCTACGGTGCGATGGCAGCGCCACGTGAAGCGCCTAGCGGACGTTAATTTAATTAAACTATACAATGCGCTCCTTCGGTCGACCGCTTCCTTTAATTTCCCGACAATAACGTTGTCTTTGAAATCGAAAAACTTCTCTATAACCTACGTGGGAATGATCCTTTCTTCCAAGCTTTAAAAAATAATAGACCAATGATACACTCTCACGCTCTATATTCTATACGCTGTACTGCACTCTGTACACTATATAACCTATATGATATACTCTTTAATCCTATAGACCAAAACTGTATATCAAACTAGCGAACCAAGTTCCTGAGACAGTATGGAATTTCAAGATACAGGCAAATTGTTGGCTCAACATCCGTGTGTACACGTGACGTACGTAAAGTCGATATGAGTACTCCGTGAAGGGGGTTGGCATCCCAGACCATAATCGATTACAAAGTAATACCAAAAATAGATCAGTGACGTGTTCCCGGGACTAATACAGCGTATCCGTACTTTTCTACATTGGACTATACGTATCCACGAAAGGAGCCAAGCTTCTCTCATAAATCGGTGAATTTGCTGAATCCGGGGGAAAAACATGCATCTCTTCGATTCGCTCGGTTAACTGTACGTCGATACCGCATGTATCCAGAGACATATGTATATGCATGGGTTCCCCACGTATATATATTTCCCCACCATGCATACACAGATATAAATTTTGTTTGCATCCAATCGGCATGACCATTGATCGAGTTGTCAACCATGTCGCGGATTTATCAGTACGTATATCCACCGGTACTACTGTCATCATCACCACCGCCACCACCACCCCCAACATCACAACATGTGTTGTCGCATCAGGATTTTTAAGTTACTCATGGGCTCGTATACATATCCGTTCGGTACTAGAAAAAAGAAGGACGTATAAAAACAGGGTAAAAAAGAGACCAACGGTATCGTGTGGTTCACGGAATTACGCGGGAATGAAATTCCGCGACAGGATGTTCCAGTGTTGAGGGAAAAAAGAAGTAAAAAAAGAAAAAAAAATGATAGAACGCCCACGAATGGTGCTTTGGGATTTTTGTTTCCCATGTAAAACAGGAAAAGCACTAGATATCCAGTTCTTTTGCGTATGAATTTCGGGCGTATTACAAATTCGAATATGTACGATACCTATAATGGTACGTGCAGAAGGGGAATTGATTAATTTTCGATATAGCGCGTAAAAATAAAAGCAGGCACTTTTTTGACAGTGAAAAATAGCCGAAAATTACTACACCGTATAATACGAATGATATTCTTGTCTTTTGGACCTGCGTGACGTAAGCATTATAGTAAGCGCCAATCAATGTTTCTTATTATCAAACGATTATTAGCCAGTCAATATACCGTATGTATCTTAGCCTCGTGAGTGTAAAGGGTAACAAATAATATCGAATATGACACTTTTACGAGTAATACAGAAAATTATTGAGTTTCTCTGAGCTTTGTACAATTTTCATAGTTATTTAGATTTCGAGTAAACCGATGACAGATAGCACAGTCATGAACCTTGTTACGCGTTAGTAAGTGATACCTAGCGCACTAATGGTGCTCATCAAGGTGGCCCTGAAATGCCGCTGGCGTAGCAGAGAAAAGTAAATTGAGTCGCGGCGTCGGTACTCGGAATAATTACAAATCCAATAGAACGAAAGAGTAGTTAGATGATAGTAAGAGACAGAAAGTGAGAGAGGAGGGGAGGGGGGTAAAAGAAAAAAAGAGTGAAATGAGGATAAAGAGAAGAAGGGGAGGTGGC